GACCTTCTGAGGTCCCTTCCAACCCTACTTTATATGTTTCTATGGATACTTTGATTTTTATAAAGGCTACTTGATCATTGTATGGTACTAGTCACAAATTCAGAAAGGAAAGCATTTCATATAGCTGAACATAGTAGGGCAAAAACTGTAGTCCAGGGCTCAAGAGTTAAAGAACTGTGGAATTCCACCCCACACAAGTCAGAGGGCCAGAGAGTAGGGAGAGGGGGAAATGGATTTCAGGGGGCCAGAAAAGGCAGGGAGGTGCAACTAGTTCTCTAATTGTGATGGTGGCTTTCTCACATCATGTCTAACATTGAGCTATTGTGCTTTTTTTTTCTTTAAATGAATTCTGCTTTCCTCTCATTGGAAATCTTAAGAGATTCTGGTGGAATGGAGAAATAAATACAATTATAGAATTTTGCAGTGTTGCAGGTTTGGTTCAGGGAATCTCAAGAAGCATGATGTATTTGGTTATAACTTTTATTGGACCAATGATAGAGTTGGGAGAGCTGCAAGATAGGTTTTTTAGTACAAAATGCCCTTGTCTGAGGATGCTTAAATATTTCTTAATAGCTCTATTGTTGGTCCAATAAAATATATTCTAAAACAAAAATCTTGCTTTTAAGACATAAAGCATTTTACCATTTCACTATAGGTAAATTTTAACATGATGACTTGTTAATAATTAATGCTAGGTATCCAAACAGCTTTAATAAACCATGAATTCTTAGTATTCTTCTTTTTCCTTTTCCTGTATCAGAAATACTTAACTGTTGTGCTTCTACACTTACCAACTTATGAAGTCTGTTTTACTTGTCCTTTGAGAGCCAAACCTGTATCCAGATATGCTTAGAACCCTTTTGTCTCTTTGGTGGGGCCCTGATGACCCAGGTACAGGGGCCCACCTGCACAGACCTGACTACAAAATTATGGCTGTTGTATATGTACTTGGGTACCAAGGTCTTGGCCACCTTGTAAGACTGTGGCTATATAGATGCTAGCCTAATTTAGGAGATATACAAAAAATTACAGAAAACATTATTATTGACTTATTACAATGAATTTGGAAGCAAAACTGCAATTCCAGAAAATACACATTTATAGTTCCTGCCCTGATTTGTACCATATTCTGCTGAAGCATATCTTAATTCTTTCTACACGGTCTATAAAAATGCATTTTTTCTTACTAATTTTACAAAATATCTTTCCGTAAGACACTATTTTCTGTTGGTAGGCTTACAATAGCAGCCCTAGGAGAAAAGTTAAATGATTACTGGAATGAAATGAAAGCCAAGAAAAATGAAGAATATCCTCTGGATTTGCTAGTGGAAGACATACAGTGAGTAACATGCCTCTCTGAAACTGTATTTTCAAGTCACAACATACAGAATATGCATGTGATAGTTTATCTGCTTCTATCTAATGTCACAGAGAAGTAAATACAATAACAGAAGTAGAGTAAAACATTTTTGTATGTTTTGACTTTTCATTACAGAAAACGACCTGATCAGACATGGGTTCAGTGTGATTTATGTCTGAAATGGCGAAAGCTTGCAGATGGGATAGATCGCTTGCCAGAAAAATGGTACTGTTCATTGAACCCTGACCCACAATTCAGGTAAAATAAAATTTGGAGGAACAGCTAAATAGTACTGCATATTTTACATTCATCAGCTGACTAGAACACCATTTGTTTTGTTTTTTGTAAATCAGGGATTGCAATGTACCAGAAGAACCAGAAGATGATGACTTAATACATCCTACGTATGAGAAAACCTATAAGAAAAGGTGAGTATCGGAGATCTGTGTGAAAAAAAAATGTGCCCGCTGTAGGACAGGAATTTGAAGGGTGTACGCTACAGTTATGATTCCTGGTGACATATACAATTAAAACACTGTGATATCTTAAATGATGAGACCAAATCATATTTAAAAGTGATTATACAACTTTGAAATAAGATATGTATAATCACTCCCTTAATGTGTTCAGAATGTGGCTTGACTGATCCTCAAAGGGCTCTGTGCTCCACTAAGATCAGTTTTTGTTTTTGACTGCTGGTTGCCTATGAATGTAAAGTGACTAGACTTAATGGCCCAGAAGCCCCTTCTAGTCCTTAATTTCCCATGTCTCATGGTACTGATTCTCCTCTTTTCCTGTTACTTTAAGACAGCTACGGTGACACAGTTTAGTATGCCTATCGTTGTGCACAGAACACTCAGTATATCTGTCTTTGGCAAGTGGCTGCTCAGCTGGCCACGTGTGTGTAAATGATCTCTCAATACTTTCCTAGAAAAGCAGCTGTGGGCATTCACTCAGAGATGTTGCGTGATTTTTCGCAGGGAAGGAAGGAAGGTGGCCCATATAATAAGGAATTGGAAAGGGATGGTTCATTAACTGGAAACAGGGTAATGCAGGCTGTGTGAAGTTTCAGAGTTCCTATTGTAGTCTAAGGATATGGTTTGGGGCTCAGCTGTTCATAACCAAGTGCCCTAACACAGTAGTAATTCAGGCATGAAAAAAAATGCTAGTCGGCTCACCTGGAAGAATACCTTTGTGGCCTATTCAGTTAAACTGAATACTAATGCAAGGATTGGCCTTTAAAGAGCTGTACTTGTTAGATATGGCAACAAATTATTTTAAAGTTAAGCTAATTTAAGTGCTGTGATGGCCTTTACTCTTTAATAAATTCAGAATGTGGTAATTGAAAACCAGTGTCTGTTTTTTCCAATCTAGGTGGTAGAAAGTATTGTATTTGTTTTTAATATAGAAATTATTATATTTGTAAAGTGAATTTTATATTTGGAGTTAACACCTTAATCTTTATCCCTCCATTGCTATAAAGAGACAAGGAAAAATTGAGAAAACGAATGGAAAACAGTCAACAGGTACTACTTAAACTTTTATTTGTTGTATTTGGTAGTTTCTGTGGTAACTTTTTAAGAGGATAAAGAAAGCTACAGTGTAAGAGTATACATGCAATGTGTTCTGCTGTTGGTACAGATAAGCATTACATTAAAGCTGTTAATTTACAACTGATATTTAGATAATATAGTTCAAAGAATTTATTTTTCCTCCATTGTTACATTGGGGGAGAGCATTGAGAAAAATTATAAAAGGTAAAGTTCTCAATGGCTACCTTGTAACAACATATTTAAACACTTTTACATGAGCGTTCTGAGAGGGTAGTTTAAAAAAAAGTTTCCCCAGTGATGAAAAAAATCCATCTTTGAACCTCTTTGAAGTTCTTTGAACTTTGTTACCTAAAGACAAGCAAACGCTATTGTTAGAAAACATGTATAGGAGCCATTCAGGATTCAATAGTGTGTGGACCAGTTAAGCCCCAGAAGAGGGTGTACTCTCTGAGGAGGAGAGCTATCTTCAATGAGTAATTAATATAGTTACATCTCCGTTTCAAATTCTCAGAAGTTTAGTGCCTGATATGGAGAGCA